TGGTCTGCGCATGAGATGTGTAGCCCACATGCAAGAAACACCGTGTGCAAGGAAGGGCTGCGGCAAGATCAGCTCATCCAGCTCACCATCCACAGTGGAGACCTACCTGCAAAGCTGGCTGGCACTCTTGTGAAGAGTGTCTGTAGCTACCAAAGCTAAAATACATTTTATAGCCCTAAACCAACTTTTTTGTTCCTAGATAAGTATCAGATTACAGAGGACTCAAATCAGCTATCTCTTTACATGCACATTTTTCAGGCTTAAAAGGCAGTATTGAGATAAAGGTGGTGTCATAAAAATAAGAAAAAAAATAGAGTAAGAATAGCACAGATATTTCAGTAAAGGGGCAGAAAAATGTCAGTTTTGAGTAATACCATCAAAATCCTTCCTTGTCTCCTTGAATTGCTGCCTTCTTTCTCTTGGAAAGGGCAATATAAGAAATGTCTAGTGATTTATTGTGAACGACACAGGCCCATCACCTGCTGTGTTTTCCTATAATCAAGATGATAAGCTACCCCATTATCATTGTAGTGTCCAGCACCAACAATAAGCCCTGCAGTTAACTTTCAGGGGATTGCTTACTGCTCAGATAAGCAGCGCTGAACTTCTTGCCTTTAAAGCAGGCTGAAAGACAGTTTTTTCTCCAACTGAATACACACAGATGTTTTTCTGCTGCTAAAAAAAATGTATTTTGTCAGAAAAATGAGCAAGAAGGTATATTATTTCTGCCAAACCATGTTTAGAACTGTAATCTTTCTGTTTTTTAACTATAACATTCGTTTCATATAGATCAAGCTAATAGGGAGAATCAGGATTACACATACCAATAGCAGATTTCTTGTTTTCTTATTAGGTAAATAGAGGTTCTTCAAATTTTTTGTTTTTTTAAAACAAAGAAAATTTTATTACCTCATATGTTATTTGTTGGGTTTTTTTTCAATAAAATAAATACTTGTGTTCAACAAATGTGTTCATAAGTAAAATTTGTGTTCAAAAATACAATCCTTTCCTTCCAACATATGGCATTTTTTCTTGCTTACAACTGTTGTCACATGCAGGAGAATCACACACCTTTGATTTTTCATATTTAATCATTTCCTAAAAAGCAATATTTGGAAACACAACACAAATGCCCCTTATACGCAGAGCTGAGGAACTCTGAATTCTTCACCTTTCAGTATCAGGAAGTTTCTATATTTTTTGATTCTTTGCAGCTGTTTTCTGAACTTATGAGAAATTGTTCTGGAGCCTAACAGCACTGAATAATCCTAAACTAAAGCAAGAACAGCTGAAGGCTGTGATTTATTCAGCATCTTCATCTCCCACCATATTCAATGGGAACAAAGAGAATTCAGGAATCTCAGCTAATTCAAATTTGTGATGAAGAGCAATGTTTTGTCCTATTTAATGTCTCCTGAAAACACATGTACATAACTCAATATGTCCTTATTTAACATTAGTTTTGTATTTCACACTGATTCATCTCATGGTAGCTACATGTTTTTCATAACCCTCAGACCTATAGTACATCTGAGCTGGGGTGAAAGCATGGCTGCACTGCGGTAAATAGCAGTAGTCCCCCAGTGTGTAACACAGAGCATCCTGACCCTGAGACCATTTTTCCCATACCCTACAGACTATTGAACATAACACAGGTGCCATGTGTCAGACAGGACTGAGCAGACCAAACTCAAAGGGCTATCGGTTCATGTGCTTCCAGTTTAGAGGTGTCTGTGTGGAACACAGCCAGAAAACATCTCAGCCTCCCAGCAGCCAGGCATCTCAGGGGTGCTGTTTTTCAGAGCTCCAAAATGCAGCGTTTCCCAAACAACATGGTCTGAGGTGCCACTGCAGCACTCCCAATGCTAGTGGGGAGAGCCAAGCCAAGAACCGGGATGCAGAGTCACCCCAGGGTCACAGCCAGTGGATCTCCTCATTGAGGACTGCAAAACTTCCCAGGAGTGCGCAGCATCCAAGCACACAGCTCTGGAGATGCCTGCCAGGGCAGGAGTTTTATCTTGGGCACTTTGAAAATTTATCAAACACACAAAACGCTGCAGACAACACACCAGGCTGAAAGAATCAGTACATTGTGGTTTTGAAACTAAGGTAATGAGACAAGGAGCAAAACCCAACCAAACAGAAAACCAACTACAACTATAAATATTTAAATTTCACAATGGGATATTTCAGAAAACTTTCTGGAAACTTCCTTCCCTGACCTCAACTGCTGCATTGAATTTTTTAATTATTTTAATATGAGGATGAAGTAAAAACAATTCCAACCTTACATTTGCTCTTTCTATGGTATTACAAAATGAGTGCAAGTTTGTGAAATACATTCCAAAATACTTTTTGCAATGAACTTCTTCCAATGGAGATGTATTTTTTTTTCCGCAGAACCACCTAATTGTCTTAAAGATATTAAATGGAGAGGCAGGGATCCGAATAAGATGAAGAATGTTAATGAAAATTTACATCTCATCTGAAAAAAGGCTTGGTCTAAGTTGCTAAAAATTAAAAGAAGTTGTAGGTATCTTAGATTCTGGTGAAAGGACTACATTTTGCATGAAACTCTCCCAAGATACTTGCCTATCAGCTCTGAAAACAAAGAGAAAAATTATACTAAGCAGATTAAGCTATGGTGAGCCAAAACCATCTTTCCTGTCCTTGGAAGAGTTGCTAGCTCTGTTAGGAAGAAAACGGGAAAATCAATAGCACTTATTTAATTCCACAGTGATGTATCTTCATTCCTCTCCTATGTTCAAAACAGCATCATACTCAGGGAAGCAGGGTCTGTATCAACTTAGCCCTAAAGGAGCCAGAGATGCCACTTTTCCCCATATTTATGATTTTCTCACATCATAGCTATGCTTTCCCCTTTCCCTCTGAAACAAAACTTCAGGAACTACTGGGGCCTTCTGTAGAGCAACAGTAATCTGTTGTTCATTACTGAACAGGAGGACACAGATGGCGTGACTCCTGCTGAGGTATGTAATTCCTGCTTGCCTTCAATTAAATTTTTAGAATGCTGAAGAAAATATTTAGCAAAAATATCTTAGGCCAGATAAACGGTTTTTATTTTGAAATGTCATAAACAGATGGAAACACAACCAAATTCTCTGAAATGGTCACAGACTGGGCTTCTGGTATGGTACGTGGCTTCATGTTAA